ATACAAGTGATACAGTTGATACAGTGAGAAAGCAAAGATTATAAAGGGAATGGGATAAGTTTCTAACAATAGATGGGTCTAGAATACAAAGATATAAGGGTCTTCTTTTTATTTTTTGCAGTTTCTCTTTAACTTGAAATTATTTCCTAATAAAACAATTTTAATTGGAAGTTCCAACACTGGATGACGTTCCCTTCTCTGCAGGTGTAGACCCTCCTCTGCCAGAAGACCCTGGGCAGGCAGCCAGACCAGGGGGCAGCTCAGAAATCAAGCATCTGGGTTCCGTGTGGCCTTGAGCAAGAGCCTCACATCTCTGTCTGTGCTCCCACCTCATGGGCTGTTGGACACCTGAAACGCTGAGCTGGCCAGGCTTCGCTCTCAGATTATGCTGGCTGGCCGTGGGAAGGGCAGGATCACCCTGCGCTCCGCGGGGAGCAGAGCTGAGAGCTGCCTGTGGCTCCGACAGCCATGGTGGGGGGCGCGCAGGCTCTCGCAGGATTGTGACCCCAGACCGGCACTGTCCCCGGCGAGCCTTTGGCGGGCTGAGCTAGAGGGAGGTTGGCTGTTTAACGCCTTGTCTCTCTGTCTTCAGGGGCCCCTCAGGTCACGGCCCAGCGAGGTGGTCCCCTCCACAGCACCCTCGCACCCTCAGCCCCTTCAGTCGCAGTGTCAATAGCCCCGGGGCCCTGCACTGGGGCCTGGGGGTCCCCTATATCCCGCACAGGCCTCAACTCCCTTCAAATTGCTCACTTTGAGTGCGCCTCCTGCTTCCCGCCAGCCCCTGCCTCCAGCAGACACCTGTGGAGGGAGGCCAGGCACCCCCCTGCCGCCGCCCCACCCGGAGACTGTCGTACATGTCTGCCCTCGAGGCCCGTGCACCCGGCTCGGTGAGGGGACCCACCGCGAAGCCATTCATGCCGCAGAACAAAAGCGAGGGCTGCCGCCCGAGCCTCTTCTGAGGCTCAGGGCCTCCTGTTCCAACTCTATTTCATCTTTTCATAAGTTACTGTTAACTGAGACGCATGACAAGAAGGGAATTAAAAGAGAGAAGAGTTGGTGGAGGAATGCCTTTTCTTTTTGGTTAAACCTTTTGTTATCCATTCTTTCGGAGCCTGATTCAACCAGAGGAACGTGTGGCAGAACCCGTTCTTCAAAATTAGTTCCAAGAGACAGGCGGGCTCTTTATTATTCATTCTATTAAAATCAAAATATTAGCTAATGCCTCTCACGCCATCAGAGTGGGCCTGGCGACTCCTCTGATGCATTGTCCTTCTTGAAAGTGAAGAAGGCCTTTCATGCCAAGGCCTCTGTCAAGTCCCTCTGGTCTCCTGCTCACACCAATGACAAACCCTGACGTGCTGGGTCTGAGACACTTGTGGGCCCAGGACAAAGGTCCAGGACCAGATGGGCAAGGCTGCCTCTTCCTCGGCCCCACCCAGCACTAGACGCCAGACCCCCTCAACACCCTATGCATCCTTGGAGCCCAGGGTGGCCTCAGCAGAGCAGGAACGCCCCTCCTGGTTGCAGGGGTATGGTTTCCCAGGTCCAGAACCAGAACTGATTTTTGTATGGGAGGGAGGAAAATGATGATTCAGGGACCCAGAGGCTCAGAGCTCAGAACTGCTTTGCAAGGGCTTACTTGGATTCCCCACTGCAACCTTCATCTCTGGAAGAAGGACCACAATGCCAAGGAATTCCTTGAATCTCGCAGGAACACACCAGTCTGGATTTCAGCACTCCGAGCTCTAGAGTCACTGAGAGGTATCATGGTGGTGTTGTTAATCGGGTCCTGAGGAAGACAGTGAGATTCCTCGCTCAGTGGAGGCTCATTGTCCCTGAGAACCATGGGTGAAACCAGAGCCCCCAGATGATAAGAGTTGGCTCAGCAGGGTCTGTGCCTGTTGACCTGGGTTGCAACATAGATGAATATAGCTCCCTTGGGGGTCCTCCCAGCTGACTGGGGAGTGAGGGAGGCTACACAGACCCGGTAAGGGGCTGCCAAGGGACAGAGAAAGCCGAGATTCCTGGATGCTGAGTGAACCAAAGAAGGCTTCCTGGAGGAGCTGGGCTTTGACAGATGGTTAAGGACTGGAAAGGAGAGAGGAGAGGGAAGGGCAAGGAGAACTGTGAGTGAAAAGCTCATAGGTGGGGGTGGGAGTGAGATGAAATGGGAAATGGTCAGAGATAAGGCTGGAAGGATCTTGACTGCAAGTAAAAGTAGGAATCCTTTCTTTCTCCCTTTTGTTTCCTTGAGTCATCCTAAATTCATTATTAATCTCCCAAGACCTATCTTGTTGATAAATGTTGATTTCCCTTGCACACCTGTTCATATTTCTGATGGAAATGTATTATAAAATCACTCCATTCAGCTGGTGATTACCATGGTAATCAGGAACGCTCACCGGCAGGCCAGCATTCCTCTTGAAAATAAGATTCTGAAGATATGGGCTTTCATTTCACTTACGATGTGCCTGGGGAGAGAGGGAGTGAAGCAGGAGTGGGGTGGGGTGTGGGGGGATGGTCCCCTCTTCTGGGGAAGTCTTGGCAGACAGCACAGCCCCCAGGGCCTGGGAGGGCTCTGCAGGAAGATGAGGGGATGGACCAGACTGGGAACAAGTCAACAGGGCAGGTCCCGCATATGCTGGTGGTCTACTGTGCGCTTGCAGCTGGGGACAGCTTGACCGGATCCCAAGCCAAAAGAGGATGTGAGTTATCGAGGCCCAAGATCAGGAACCTTGGCTAGAATTCCATTGTGTCCCATTTCTGCCACAAGAACCACCTCTATGCCTCCTGGGATATCATGATGTCATCATCATCACTATTATTATTACTTCTCCCTATCACAGGATCCTAGTTGTTTAAGGTTTGGTAAAAGCCCCACAGGTTTGAATTGTATTATTTAGTCCTATTTTAAGTTTTCAAGAGCTCCAACCAGACTGCTGGGCTTTAAATCCCTGTTCCATCACTGACTGACTGTGTGTGTGACCCTGGGCAAGTTACTGAACCTCTCTGCTTCTCCTCACCTGTAAAAGGCAGTCTCTAATGTGTAAGAGTGTTGGGAGGGTTAAGTGAGTTAATACATGTAAAATGTTAGAATACATCTGTCACAGAATAAGCCCTCAAAAATGCCCGGGGAGCTAGCAGAGCTGCATCTCTCAGTGAACGGGGAACAGGGCCACTTAGAACAGGCAGTTCCCTGGACGCTTTGCACACATCGCCTTGCCTCCTTCTCCTGACACCTCCATGTAACCCTGTCTGAATGGGAGGCAGCCCAGAGCCCCAAAGCCCCAACTGCATGGTGACAGTGGTGGGTCTGGGCTGGAACCCAGACCCCCTGCCTCCTTGCCTAAGGCTCTTCCATTTTTCTTCCTAAAGATGTTGGTTTGCTGACCTCTGCTTGTTCACCCCAAACTAAGACCCAATCACTCCCTTACTCTGACTGCAGTCCTGGGACTCTCAGGTCAGTGAACATAGGATTCTAGAACAGTCATATCCCCAAAGTCTACATCCTAAATCATCTACAGCTTTCAGTCACTCCTTCCATTGCCCATTCGTGTTAGTGAAAGTGAAAGTGTTAGTCGCTCAGTCGTGTCCAACTGTTCGCAACCCCCATGGACTGTAGCCTGCCAAGACCACCAGGCTTCTCCATCCATGGAATTTTCTAGGCAAGAATACTGGAGTGGGTTGCCATTTCCTTCTCCAGGGGGTCTTCCCAACCCAGGGATCAAACCCGAGTCTCCCGCATTGCAGGCAGACTCTTTACCATCTAAGCTACCAGGGAAGCCATATGCGTTAGATGTTGCCTAATGAAACACCACCACCATAATCATAGTACAGTTGCATTTATTGCTTTCCCAGTTCTAGGCACCACAGTACCTTCTCTGTTACTATAATAATAATTGTCATTAATGGAATTACTTTACACCAGACATCACATAACCCACATCAGTCCAGGAGCTGTGGCCCCTGCCTCACAGAACACCACCCCCCACCCCCAGCAGTTGCTGACAGGCCATTATTCTGGGTCCTGCTAACTCTGTGCAGTGATAAGGAAACTCCACCAATTTGATGCTTTATCTGGTTGCAGGTTGAGGAAAGATATTATTTCAATCAAGATAATGATTCTATTTCTTGGACGGAAATGAGATTTTTTTTTTTTTCATTGCCTTGTAGGAGTGTCACCAGAACCTGTCTTGGGGCTTGAACAGGTCAGATACAAGTTGGTGGATTTTCTTGTGACCCAAGAGAGAGTGTAAATACAACAGAGAGCAGGAAAGAGAAAAACACACATGCCAGGCCTATGAGGCCACAAAGGAAGTTCCATGTGGACATTTATAGGCATAGAACCTGTGGGACAGAAATTCAGAAGGAAAGTGTGCAGTGTGAGCCCGACAGCCTGCATTTCACACGAGGTAAATGACCTCTAAGGAAATAAGGATAACGAAGCCATGGAGACCAGACACAGCTATGACAGCAACTTAAAAGTCTTCTAAACCTGCCCGTCATGGAGGATAGACTTCCTTCATGACTTTGCTGACAGATGACCCAGCTGCTCCTTCAACACCTCCTCCAACAGGGAGCTCACCACCAATGGAGCCTATGCTATCACTGACCCACTCCTATGTTGAGGAAAGTATCTCCAGATTACATATTAATAGTAAAGTCAATTCATAAAAGGAAACCACAGTGAGAACTCACAAGGTGCTGACACTGCAATAGACCTAAACACACTTTGGAAACAATACACATTTCAGTAAGTCATCAAATGACACGCAAATAACATTAGGTGATAAATGCAACAATTTGAATGAGTGAATTTCGTGAAAGTTGACATTATTTAAAATATTTAAAATTTCAAGGGCTGTAACACAGCATCTCAAGCTCTTTATTGGTGATTTGCTTTAATGAGGAAATAACAATTTTCAATTCTTATATCAACTGTTTATATAGTAACTCTAAGGAGTTTGGAAATGTTTATAAAGGCTTTACATCTTTTGAACATTTCACTGAGAACTGACTTGATGAAATGCTCCCTCTCCAAATAAAAGGTACATCTCAGCTCAACCGATCCTGGAACAGACGCAGTTCTGCTGATTCTTAAGGACCAAGTGGGTGGTGTCTTACTTTACTGCAATCGGACTGATCAAAACTTTGAAATCTAAACTGCACCACTGTTGGTGTGTATAGACTGTCATCAAAAAGTAACCCAAAATCTGGGTAATATTAGTTGTCAGCAGAGGAGGAGCCAGGCTGCTTGGGACAGAAGTGGGAAGGAGATTTTTCACAGCATACTTTTTGATACTTTTGCATTTAGGGCCATGGAACTGTATTACCTATTAAGAATAAAATTATAGTTTTAAAAAGCACATAGTTATTTCAGTGAAGACAGACTTTGACACCATCGATTCCTATTTTAATATTGATACTCTTAAAATGCAATGAAAGTTACTGCCAGGTCAGGTGAAGATTACATTTGGCTATCTTCACAGCACTGATGCTCTTACATTTGGCTATCTTCTCAGCACCGATGCTCATGGCAGGGTAGTAAATGTGACCAATGTCCCACTCAGACCCCCTTTTTCCCGCTGGGCACCCAATCAAGAAGAGGCTTGCTCTGATACACCTTTGCTCAGCTCCTCCTTCCTGATCCTGCCTCTTTTCCTGCCTCCCTTACAAGCTTTCCCTAACGCTCTGTTTTGCTACATCACACGTGCCTGAATCCTTGTCTCAGGTTCTGCTTCTAGAGAACCCAACCTAAGTCAATCAAATGCAGCCTTCCTGTATCTTTCCAGAGGCTTGCCCCTGGTGGTAGAAGCATACATGAGCCTTCCTCTTTGAGAGCAGAACCATAATCAATTTCCTGCCCAGTCAAAATCACCAGTCTGATACCATACATCCCATGAAAGGCAGCACAGCAAAACGGTGACCATTCGGAACAGAGCTCCCACAGCTAGACCTGGTAAGACTGCACAACTGTCTTCCCCAGGACGAATGAGCAGGAGGTATACAGCAGTGTGCAGTGGAAAGTCATTATGAATCTCGGCTCTACCCGCTGAGCAATCTCGAATGAAATATTGAACCACTTCGAGTCTCGATTTCCTCATCTGCAGAATGGCACTATCTGACAGAGCCTTTGTGAGGCTCAGATGAGGCAGTACCGTCAAGCGTGCTGCAAACTGGCAACGCTACATAAATACTGGTTGTTCTTGACATTCAGAGCAAGCAAGTATCCTCTGCTTGCTTGGAAGAAATAAGTAAATTAACCTTTGTTAAATAAATACACCCCAGCTGCTCCTCACGCTGGGCATAGTACCTGGAGCTCCCTGCATGAGAAGCAGCTCCAGGAAAAAGCAAGTGGACATGGGGGACACTGTCCTGGAGACTGTCCACCTGGAGCTTTGGGTGTGTCCCCATCATGGTCTCATGACCCTCAGTTGCAGTTGTCTGGAGAAGGTTGATTCTCTCTGTCTCTCTCTCACTGAGATACAAGGAGTATCCCCAATGTGAATTTCCTGTAATCTACCCAGTGTCTATGTTAGTCTCGAATACAACTTCGAACTTGTTGAAAATCCCATATAGTCTTTTCCACCTAACGAGTCATAAACTGGCAGAAACTTAATTTTACTTACATAGATCAGGGATTCTTGCTATCCTGATTCATTGTGGACCATTCATGAAAGCATTTCAAGCCCTATAGCATCTGGCCCTGCCCAGTGTCACGAGCATCTCCTCCCCTCCTCCCCTCCATGTCTATGACATCCTCCACATAGGCCATTGGGTGTTCCCATCCTGGGGCCTCATCCTTGTTCCTTTCTCCCTGGAACAGGCTCCCTCCTCCATCAGCCCAGCTCAGGTCTCCCTTTTCCCAGGACCCCTTCCCTAACCACTCCCATCACCAGTATTTCTGCCTGTGCCATCCAGGCCAGAGCAGGATGCATGCCCTTTCATAAAGTTCTTTCATGGTTTCATGGGCAGATGTCTTCTCTTCCCACACTGGACTGACAGTTCCTCCAAAACAGAGCCTGAACCTTCAGCTTCTCTTGTATTTCTCAGAGCCACCAGATAGTGCCAGGCGTCTGGCGAATTAATAATATTCCCAGATTGAGTAATGGACTGGGTCATATGATTGCTCTCAGTTTAACACACTGCTAAATGGTCTGTATGAGAATTTACTGTTTTAAATAAGATCACCCTAGCAGCAAACTTGGAATTGTGCAAACTGTTTGTGGCCCCACAAACAGGGAGAAAAATTAAAAAAAAAAAAAAAAAAAACCACGTCATCCTCATACCAAATGAGTCCTGCTTTCCTCACACACCAATCGACCCCAATGGAACTGCTCTCTATCATGAGCCAGTGGGCGCACCCTCCACTCCACTCCGAGGGCAGAGCCAGGGCTCAGACCATGAGCCTTCACAGCCTTTCGTCCCTGGGTCCAGTCCCACCCAGCCAGAGGCACCTTCTGGAAGAACCAAAAGCCCAACTTCATCCAGGTCACGTTCCCTTCCCCAAACAGGGAAACCCACCTACTTCCCAGGAACACTGTCAAACCACAAACCGAAGAAAGCAAAATTCAGACTCACAAGCGACCACGTCTTCTTCTTAAATTTCAGGCCAGCAGTTTCTGTGCAAACCTGCTCATTTCCTGCAAAGAAAAGAAAAGGATGGAGAAGCATATTAGCATCTGCTCTGGGTATCCTTCAGCAGTTTCCTGGCCGACCTCTGGCTTCTGCACCTTCTCTGCGTTCTCACTCCCAGCAGCACTCTCCCCTCCCAGGAACACTGCGTGCTAGTTGGGTGGGCGCCCCTGGCAAGATCCCCCCTCCTCCGGCCGAGGGTTCGGCCCACGTCGCCTCCCTCCCCCTCCCCGGCGCCATGCCAGTCTCAGATTGACCACTGCCTCCAATTCCCTGAAGGCGCTGGGCTTCTTCCCACTCGGAGTGAGGCCTCCTCTTCTGTAGCATGGGGTTGCCTAGCAACCCTGCGCGCCAGCTCGGAAGGCCCTCCTAAATTGGACCTCACAGCACAGGGCATCTCCTTGTACAGCTGCCTGAATCTTAACAATCTGGTTCTGAATAATAACACAATGGTAATTGCATGCATGGGCCCCAAACTACATTTAAATAATGTTCAAGAGCTGACACAAACCAACAAAGGCCAGAAAATGCATTTCGGAGGTTGACTGTAGGGCCAGGCAGGACATTCCGTGCGGGAGGGAGTTGACACCAAAGACTTGAGTTAATGACAATGCCAACCTGAACTGTGCGTTCTCCTGCCTTTCTGCCTGAGGATGTCACCACTTTAATGTGTTTTAGGTGAGTTTGGGATCTGTAGAGGCAATTAATGGCCAGCAGTAGTGATGCTTCAAGACAGGATGTCTTTTAGTTCTTCGGCAGTGTTCGGAGAGATTTTTGGAGGAGGTGGGGAGGACACAGGACCAGAAGGGAGCACTGTGCCTGTGTGATTTCCCGTGGCTTTTACGATCGTGGCTAAATACATTTTAGAAGGTAGGAGAAAGAACTTACCAAGCAAGAGTGCAGAGCATCTGCTACCTCAGTGAGGGACAAATTCAACATGACTGATGCGTTTCAGGATAAGAAGTGAAGGCAAAGAGGCCTTGACACTGGCTAGCGTGCAGACGGAAGCCGCGGAGTGTGGAGTGGGGAAAGGCCGCGTGCACGCAGAGTCCAGCCTGCAATCTGTGTCCCTGGCAGAGGGTAATGAAGAGCTCTGCTCAAGGCAGAAGAGTCTTCACACGTGGGAAACAGCAAGCTGACAATCTGTTCCTCATGGAGTGATAGCAGTGAGGGTCAGTTGATCACCCCTGATGATTTGAAAGCCCGAAGCATTTGTTTTTAAAAGCTCAAAATCGTCCTGCAAGGGACTTAAACAGATACTCGCACACCCATTTTCATAGCAGCATCACTCACAATAGGCAGGAGATGGGAGAAACCCGAGAATCAATGGACGAATGGGTGAACAAAATGTGGTCCATGCATATGATGGAATGTTACTCAGACTTAAAAAGGAAGCGAATTCTGATATATCAACTAGAGGACATTTGGTAAGTGAAAATAAGACAAACGGACAAATGTACGATTTTACTCATATGGGTATCCGGGCTTCCCTGGGGGCTCAGACGGTAAAGAATCTGCCTGCAATGCGGGACACCTGGGTTTGATCCCTGAATTGGGAAGATCCCCTAGAGGAGGGAACAGCTACCCACTCTAGTATTCTTGCCTGGAGAATTCCATGGACAGAGGAGCCTGGCAGGCTACAGTCCATGGGGTCGCAAAGAGTCAGACACGACCGAGCCAACTTTCACACTTCACTCACAGGGCAGTCAAATCCATAGAGACAGAAAGTAGAGTCGAGGGGTTACCAGGAACTGGGGAGAGGGTGGAATGAGAGTTAAGTGTTTAATTTGGGGAAGATGAAGATGAAACCATACATTCTAGAGATGTATGGTAGCAATGGTTGCACAACAATGTGAATAAACAATGCCACTAACCTATACACTTAACGATGGTTAATATGGTAAATGTTATGCATATTTTACCACACTTAAAAAAAAATCATCCTGTAGTAATATAGCTTTTCTCACTCAAGGACAAACTGGGCTGTGTGACTCTGGGCCAGGGAACCCATGGCTTGCAAACATGGCATTCATGCAGCATCATCACAGATGGAGGTGTCTGAGCATAAGAAACAGGATCTCCTTGTGCCCACTTCGCAGATTCCGAACCCCATCACCGCCCAGAGAGGGGACCCCTTCCACCCAGCCAATCCCATTCACCAAACCCAGGATCAGCTTCCTCTCCCAGGCACATGGGCTCCTTCTCAGCCCATGCTCCCTGCCCAGAAAGCCATTTCCTGTGGCCTCTGCCAAACCGAATCCTACTCATTCTAGTGGATCTAAGTCCTGCGAACATCACAAAGCCACAATCGAGCACTTGTTTGGGAATGATTCTGTATTCATGTCTGAAGGGTTTGTCTCTCCCCTAAATTCCCTGGAAGGACCTTTGGACCAGGATCGTCAGTAACATTTTTTGAAAGCTCTGGGAGGAAAACGGGCCGGGCCTCCTTTCCCAGGGAATCCGGGCACAGGTCCCTACCTGGGGTGCAGAGCATACCAGCTGACTACAGAACCCTCGAGCTAGATACTGCAGGCGAGCGAGCGGGTCCCTCCAGCCATTTAGAGGTGTAACTCAATGTGTGCAATACACAATCGAACATTTACAGGTTTTATTAATTTGGAAAGATCATTAGAGCTAACAGCTTCTGTGAGTGAGAGTGAATAAATAGCATGGATAATTTTTTTTTTCTGTATCCTGATTTTTTTTTTCTTGGAACAGGCGTTAAGCCTCAAAAAATAATGTCATGAGGGGAAAAGAAAAAGGAGAAAACATACAGGCTTAGGACTTCCCTGGCAGTCCAGTGGTTAAGACTTCACTTTTCAGTGCAGAGGTACAGGTTCAACAGTGGCCAGAAAACCAAACAGAAAGCAGAAACAATACTGTAACAAATTCAGTTCAATAAAGACCTGAAAAATATCAAGGCTTGAGAGACAAGAAGAGTCTGACGGGACCTCCTGACTAGCCTCATTCCCTCTCTGAGCCTTCGTCCTCTCCTCTGCTAGTTAAGGGAGTGATCACGAAGGTCCCTTCCCCCAATTATGGTCTGCAGTGAGAATGTGACGCTATCAGCTTTCCAAGTTAATAGTTATCCACCCCTCACCCCATCCATCCTCCCAAATGCTGGGCACCCCTTCACCTCTGGAGAAATAAGGTTCAAGTTCATGGCCCCTCAGCCAACAAAAGGTCCCTAATTATTTCAGGTGCCTTCCTGGACCCTGATCTGGGGGCTCTCAAACCCAACAATCTGGCTGCCTTGCTCTCATTAAGGAACACTCCAGACTAATGACTTGTTTCCTCGAATCTCCAGGAAGGGCTGGAAATGGGCCAGAGGACATCATCACCTAGGCTCCATCTCCCCAGCCCTTGTCTCCATGACCAGTCGGCGCTGTCTGTCAAGGGCCAGACCTCTGCAGGGCGTGCACGCCTGGCTCTCTCCAAGGAGACATGGAACCAGAGGTCAAGGGGCCGAGGGGTCTGGCTCCAGCCCGCGGTCATGTGGAGAAACGCCTGGCCCTTGACCAGGCTGTGCAGTCCGACCTCCCTCCCTTTCTCCACCCTCATCCCTTCTTTTCTCCTCCCGGAGCGTATAGAGACTGAGAAGGTGGCAGGCCCACATATGTCTGCAAACGTGTGGCCACAAACATTTAGGCCCTCTTCTCTGACTGCTCCTGGCTTTCAGAAGCAACAGGAAGATGAAGTGTGACTCGGAACTGGGAGACTAACAGCCTAATGCTTGTACTAATATTGGAGACCAGGGTTTGATCCCTGGGTCGGGAAGATTCTTTGGAGAAGGGAATGGCAATTCACTCCAGTTCTTTCCTGGGAAATCCCATGGAGAGGAGCCTGGTAGGCGACCATTCACGGGGTCGCAAAGAGTCGGACACGACTAATGCGAATATTAATATTAGCTAACGCTTGTGTGATGCTTTATAATTAAAAAAAGTGTTTTCACACGTACCTGTCTGGCAGGTTGGATAGAGCTAACTGTTTACTGAGCAATGGCGGTATCCCAGGGTCTTTGCTACCTGTGGGGATGCACACCAGAGAAGGTGTGGTCCCAGCCTGCAAACTCCCCCCATGACACTGTACAGCCAGGAAGATGGAAGCACAGAGAAGCTGACTGACCTTCTCAGAAGCATCCAGCTCACAAACATCCTTGCTCAAGCCAAGTCCTAGGACCCAGAGTCTTTCCAGGTGTTCCCTCAAGGCCTGCAAGTTTAGTATGAAATCTCACCTGCATGATGTCAACCAGAAGGGACAAGGCAGAGGACTGCATGGTTTGGGGACCATGAAAGTCTAGAATGAAACAGTGCCTGTGGGTCAGGCCATGTTTGGCCCTGAGAGGGGGAAGCTGCAGACTGGGTACGGGTCAGAGCCTGTTGTAGACATGACCTTGGCCCTCTGTGGCCTTTCTGCTCATGGATAAACACCCTTGTTCTCCCTAGCACCTTTGCAGAGATGCTGCCTTTGAGAACTGACACAAATTCATGAAAGCTTTTTCCTTCTTTCTTTTTTTAAATCGGCACTAACCTCTCTCTTCTAAGAACTGCCACAGCACTTACAATCAGCATGTGACAGAAAATTGGTGTTGTTCTTCTCAGGGTCTCTAAGGCCTTTTTGAAAAACATCAAATGTCCATGCTAGAGGAACGCTATAAATCCCTCACTTTACAACCAGGATACCTGAGTCCAGAGAGGGCAAATGGCTCACCCCAGGTCACACCAAGGAAAGACCAGAAGCAGAACACAAGTCCCAGACTCCCAGCCTGGAGCCTGCACACACCCAGTGGGTGGTGGGAGGGTTCCCGTGCGTCCCGTGTACCCCGAGCCCCATAGCAGCCTCAGCAAGCACGAGGGGCTGGGAGGGGGCTGTCTGACACTGGATGGCAGCCGGCGGACGCCAGCTTCCCCCCACCCCACCCTGGGAATGACTTTGAAGTGACTGGCTCTCCCTCACAGGGAAGGGCAGAGGCTGTGAGAACTGCCCTCAGGGGACAGGGAGGTCATTA